TGTGAGTGAAATAGCTCCTTCTAGTTTGAAAAACTATGCAGAGGTCTAACTGTTTTTTTCTTTTGACAGATAAAAAAATATTGAGACGAGTTTTTGTAAAATTTATATAATATTTTGCAAGGCAAAATAATTTCATGCATTGCAATATGTTGAAAAACTAAGTAGTGACTATTCTTGTCTGAACGTACTTTCGTTACGATCATTGAAAGTATAGTAAGTGTAAATTTTTCTAACTTCATCCTCTAATCATAGCAATGAAGGTTCACGAAAATGTTTTTTTTTCATTGTAAAGGAAGAGACCAATGACCATTGTGTACGTTATTATAGTAATTGAGAACAATAAGTTTCAGACGACTTTCATAGATTAGCAACCAGATAATGCGCTCAATGGTATCAAAAACGAACTTTAAAACGATATAGAAAATTTCAAAGCTTTTATAGAAATTTGAATGATTGGAAAAACATTATAAATAGTTCAATTAAAAATTTATATTTATGATGCCAAGAATGATGAATAGTAATCTCGGAAAATAGAAGTTGCTAAGACAGAAATTGGAACTTAAGTTTATAAGCATAATTCAAAAGACATAACTCTAAAAAATGTTAGTCGTCGATTAAATTAAAAAAAACAACGAGTATTGAAGAATTACTTTAAATATGATACGAATAAAACCTCGAATTGTTTTCTCTGAATCGGAATCAAAATATCTAGGTGTTACACATTTTGATTAATGCTATATCATTTTTTCATTGTCGTCATATTATTAACATGGAAAGAGTCAACTAGATAAATAATAAATTTCGAGAATAATCAAAGTTAGTGTTTGTAAGCTTGTCGATATATAAAATAGTGCGTTGAAACCTTCTGTCAAAATATAAAAAAGAGCCTTATTTACAATGATTAGAATAATAATAATAGTAAATTATGAAAATGAAAAATAAGGCAGTTAAAAAATAGAGCTTCGAAAAAAATATTCTGTTCGAGATAAAGAATTCTTAGAAAATAATCATAGTCTGTTAGGGATTTTTCACTTGAACTATCTTCTATTATTATAAAGAACATAAAGAATATATGTGAATTCTTTATTTTAACTCAATAAGAACACTTCCAAGTATTCGAAGTATAAATTTTAGCTCGATTGAAGAAAGTCAGGGGAAGAGTCCTAAGCAGTTGAATTGAAAAAGCTCATTTTCTACGCGACATTTAATAAAAGAAAATATTTTTTTAATAAAGAAAATTTCATGAAAATAAACTTTTCTGGTAGAATGATTCCTTTAATTTTCATTGATATTTCGAATAATCATACATTAAATTCTTCTAGAATCCCGTTTCTTGCAAGAAAGCAGAAGAGTGATGAAATTCAGTTGGATACTATATCGTGTACTAGTGTCAGATAATAGATGATGAATAAATGATTAGATGAGTTTTGAATGCATGAATATTCGTCAATTTCTTGAATAAAACGCGTACATTTTTTTTTAAAGAAGTGACTTTTTATTTTTTTTAAATAGAATGACATATTAAAATTGAGAGATGTTTTGTACTTTGTTGATACATTTTTAAAAAATCGTTGGATCACTTAAAAATATTCGACGAAAAAAGATGATTCTAATTAGATTTTTTATTGTTGAAAACTTGTTTAATATTAGCTCTGTACAATTAATTGCTACCAATGAAAAGTGTTCGAGACTGCACATGGCGCCCCCTATCGATCCGAACTGGACACAGAGAATTGTTTCACACAATGATTCGTAGTACAGTATCGTCTATTGTGTCCCTACTTTTCTTTCAATTTGTCTGATATTCAGTCGAGCAAAAAATACGTTCATACATATTCAATATGAAAGTAGGCTTTTCTTCATCTTAATCCTTTTTATTTTAATTTTTTTTGAAATTTTAAACAATTGTGTGCGTATGTGTTATGTGAGATAGAAATATGAAATTGAACCTTGCTTGTAATTGATAGACCTTTCGTCGTGAAATTCAATCTTTTTTTTTTTTACATAGTCTTAATATTTTAACTCCCGTTTCAGAATCAATAATGAGACCACAAGGAGGGTGTAGGTGTGGGTGTGGGGTGTGGGTGTGTGGGTGGGGTGTGTGGGTGTGGGTGTGGGTGGGTGTGGCTGTGGGTGCGGGTGTGGCTGTGGGTGCGGGTGTGGCTGTGGGCTGTGGATGTTGGCGAAAGAATAGTCACATCCAAATCCACACCCCACACCCACACCCACACTCACCCACACCCACACCCCACCCACACCCCCACACCCACCCACACCCACACCCCCACACCCTTATAGCAGAACAATTTAGATAATCTATTTTGATATTAATAATAAAATTACGTATTTCATTTGTTATTTAGAACGTTCTAAATAATGTTCCAACAGCACCACCATTATCTTCGTTTCTTCAGGAAACAATTAATACTTTACAACGTGATAAAACAAATTTAATCAGAAAAAACGAACGATTAACACAATCTAATCATACTGTACGAGCTGAACTTGTAAGAGTTAATCATGAACTTCAAGAAGTAAAGCGCCAATTTGGAGAACTAAAAAATAATTTCCACGTCCTTTTGCTCAAGTTAAAAATGTATGAAGGTGCAGAGCAGGAACATAAGGGTAAGTTGGTCGTGAACATTTACTAACACTTGAAAAAAAACTTAGAAAAAATTTTTTGTATTCATTCGTTCTTGACTGATAAAATTTAAAGAATTTTTAGCTTTGTTAAGTAAAAACATAAGGTTTTATGTATTTGCATCTCATATTTAAATCTTTCTTCTTTTTATAAGTTTTTACAAAATAATAACAAAGAGAAATGAATATACAAAGAATAAAACATGTAAAAAATCTTGAATTAAATTTTAATTAGTAAAAGAAGCTTTGAAAAATTAACATATGATGCAAAAGTAATGGAACAAATGTTGGACCCTGTTTCTCTCCAATAGTAAGGATACTGAAAGAAAACTTTTAACCAAAAGATAGAGCGTTTTCTCTTCTTTCGACTCATATGTAATTTATTTTTACAACACATAAACGAAACAACGCAACAGAAAAGAGAAGCACCCTTTAAAAAGAATCCGCAGTTTTTCTCTAAAAGGGACTCACAAAATGTCGATCATTTCATCTCTTTTATCAGCATGTTTTGGAACGAATATGTTTTTATCAGTTGATAGGAAATTTTCTTCTTTTTCGACTAATATATGATTCGTATTTGTCACAAGTCAGTAAGTGAAACGAGATGAGAAAAAAGAGAAACACCCACGCAATAAATTTACAATTTCTATACGAATTCATAAAAAATATCTTGTAGACAACAGTTGATTACAACTAACTGTCATTTTACAAGATTTTTCTAACGAGTTGATGTAAGTGTGAGTAACCACCATTTGACAAGACTTTTTCATGAGTCCACAAAGATCGCATTCATTGTCATCTAACAACATGTTTTTGATGAGTTCAAATAAAATTAAAAATTAAAAATTTATTTTGCAAATGTTTCTCTTTTTTTCTTGTCTAATTTCATACACGAATATACAACGAATATAAATCTTACATTATTCGAAAGAAGAGAAAATTTCCTATGAAATGATAAAAAAATATTCGTTGCAAAACATGCTTGCTGAAGAGTTATAGGAAATAATATTTTGCACCGTTTTTCTCGATCTCACGAAAAGTGCGGATTCTTTTTAACGGTGCTTCTCCTTTTTCTTGCGTCGTTTCGTTTATGAGCGTGTTATAAAAATAAATTATATACGAGTTGAAAGAAGAAAAAAACGCTCTATCTTTTGGTTAAAAAATTTCTTTCAGTCTCCTTACTATCGGAGAGAAACAAGGTCCAACATTTGTTCCATTACTTTTGCATCATATGTTAATTTTCGATGAAATATAAAATTTTTTCACCTATTTCATCTGAGTACTTATAACGATAAAATTTGATATTTTTTTTTTGCTTTTTAGACGGTAGTGATACGAAAGATGGCAGTGGTACGGGAGATGGTGGTGGTACGAAAGATGGTAGTGGTACGGGAGATGGTAGTGGTACAGGAGATGGTAGTGGTACAGGTGGTGGTGGTGGTGGTATATGATTGTGTTAATGATGTTAAGTTTTTTGTTGTTGTTGATAACAGATAGTCATCTATTACTCAAAATAAAAATTTTTTTTTTTGTATTATTTTCTTGAAAGTAGGCTTATTTCTCTTCTGTTGATTCAATAATAATTTTTTGTATCATTTCTTTGAAAGTTGGTTTATTTTTCTTCTGGTCTTTTAACAATAATTTCTTTCTTGTATCATTTCTTTAAAAGTTGGTTTTTTTTCTTTTGCTCTCTTAACAATAATTTTTTTTTGTATCACTTCCTTAAAAGTCAACTTATTTCTCTTCTGATGGTGCAACAATAAATTCTAATCAATTAGAATTGAATATATCAGCAATTGATTCTTTTCTTTTTTTTCCATTATTAATCGATAACATTCTTTTCGTGCCTCTTCATCAAATAAATATCTTTAATTGAAAGCAAAAAAAAAAATAATTTTATGTCATTTATCTATCTACCCTATTCATAAAGATTAAGTTGAATGTCAAGTAATTTAGTAATGAAAAATCTTTACCAATATTTCAAAACTATACTTCATATTGGTATAGGTTAAGTTCAATATTAATTTAACCAATACATTCCTTCCCAAAGAACATTCTCTCGTGTATCTTGATTATTTATTTTGATCAAATGATTGAGTTACATAACGAAGAAGTGTTCATCGAAAAACCGAAATGATTGTTGAATGTTTTGTTTTTTTATTTAAACTGTATATTCTCATTCATGATGATGATAAAGGCCTTGTCTACACTAGAAAATTTAATGCCGAATTAAGGAACTTGATTGGTCGAAAAGTTAATGCAAATTTAATGCACTTTCGAGAGACGAATTAACTTTAATGCTCCAATCAAATTGATATTGTTGACACTAATGAAAATTGATGCCGTGTGCCTCCATAAAATCACTCGGAATACAAAATTGAATCAAGTCCACCCCGTCCTGCATATTCCCATTCAATTTCTGTTGGTAATCTCATTCCTTTCCAAGAACAATATGCTTGAGCATCATACCATGATACATGTGTTACAGGATATTTTAAACGATCAGATATATCAATTAATTCACCTTCAGGACGATTCCAACGAATATTTTCAACAGCAATAAAACCTTCATCCTATAAATTAGATTTTAATAAATTAGTTTCAATCAAATATAGAAAAGAAAGAGAAAAAAACAACAACAAACTTCAGAAGTAATATTAACGATAGATTTATTTGTTGAATTTCCTAAAATAAAACTAAATCCATTGATTTCTGCTTGAGTTCGATAACGAGTTTTATCTTGAGTATAACGACGAAAAGCGGCAACTGTTACCGGATACTGAAATATTCTTTATTGAACAAAAATAAATAAAAATAAAATATAGAACAATATTGGATGAGAAGAAAAAAAAATCGTAGTTTTACCTAAAAGGTTTAACATGTGCTTGTTTGATCGGAAATTCCATATTAATTCCATGTCGATCATTAGTACCCATTCGAAAATTTCCTCCTTGAATTTCAACAAATGATTCTAAATGACGAAGTTTGTCAACTAAATCATCAATATGTTGACATTGAATGAAAATTGGTAGAAATAAAATAAATATCCTCATGATTAATATGTTTTCTTTTTTTTGCTATTTGAACTAATGTTATATTTAATAATATGAAGAATAAGAATAAGAATAAGAATAAGAAAAAAAAGAAATGAATAAATAAAGAGTGGCATCAGCTGTTGTTTTAGGTATTCTATATGGAATGGTTGCATTAGGACCTGCTCTTGGTTTTTTCATGCGTCACAAACCTTAGCAAGAACATCAAACTATTGACGAGATTCTGCAAATAAATAGGAAAATCGGCGAGAAGGTATTATCATCTTATTACTACTTTCGTTCTTCGAAAATTATCATCTATAATCAATAAATAAAAAGTATATTAATATTCGAATCTCACATGAAAACAGACGATTGGAGTTATGATTAACCATCAGCGTGTCAGAATTAAAGACCATGACTTTCTACTTCGAGCTAGTTTTTTTATTACCATTTACTTAGAGACTTAAAGATTTTTAGAAAGTTCTAGTATTCAAACAGGCATCTTTAGCCAACAATGTCCCAAAACCAGGATTTTCTGCTAAGAAAAAATAGTAACTTTAATTTAAAAAATAGTGATATTTTACTCAAAAATCTAATTTTTTTAGGTTCTAAAACCTGCTAGATTCCCGAAAAAAATTTTTGGAAAATCCATGACCTTTTATTATAACACTGGAAACTTTTCTTGTGAGTTGCCTTATAATATAGAATGACTTTTTATTCTCGAGGACCAATGACGGTTTATACAACGTAGTTAATACTAAGAGAAAAGTTATTAACTATCGAAAAGATATCATAGGCTTAATGACATAAATGCTGATTATCACTGCACTGGCAACGAGTGATCACTACTTTTCACAGTAAATCATGAGGTTTTTTCTATTACCAATCGCCTGATAACAACGGCTGACTAGTAGAGCCCATCCGATCCTATCCGGACCTGAGCTAGAGCTCGTCGGGTCTAAAAATTTTGGGCCCGAATCCGGTGTATTGAACATTTTATAGACCCGGATCCGACACCAACCCAACAGGCTCTACTCATAAAGATCAATCAACTAGGTGCGAATCCAACAATTTTGATCGGTCTGGTCCAGGTTCAACAAATTTTTTCATCAGTCGGATCCGGGTCCAAAAATTCTTGGACCCGATCAACTATACTGATCAGTTATTGTAAGGAACTACTAGATGAACGAATAATTTTTTCATTTCTTCTATAATCATTCTATTTGACTGCTTAGGTTCACATGTAATTTAACGATGAAACTGCAGATCTTTTCAGACCCAAATTCAAAGTTTAATTTATTGTCGGGTCTGGTTCAGGCCCGGGTTCAGAAAAATGTGGACCCGTAGTTTCCTAAATTTAACCATCTTATTTCTTGAATCATCATTTCTTGCGCTACAATTCCTTGAAAAAAGAAAAAGAAAGAATATTGAAATACCTTTCGAAGATAAAATTATCTTTTCATTAGCAAGTTGAGTTTATAGTCTACCTGAAGGTTTACTAGCCCTATAGATAGACAAATGGCTACCGATAGTCAAGAGTAACCTTCTCAATACTGTTTACTAGCAGCAGATCTCTACAGAAGTTCGAAACCTTCTCCAACAGGCATTTCTTGAAAAGTCTTTTAATAAGTGTTACTCTTTCAATGATGATATGATTTGTGAATAATCTTTGATAAATTAAAATAATTAATATTTAAATTTAGATACTTGTTGTATCATTTACAACATTTATGGTAAAATATATTGAATCTGTATTTAATTTATCTTCATCATTGTCAAGTACATTAACTGGTTCAATTATTGTTCCAGCAGCTGTATTTGGTACATTTACAGGTGGATATTTAGTTCGTCGTTTTCATATGGGTATTCTTCAATGTATAAAAATGATTTTAATTACATGTTCAATATCATGGTTCGGTTTAATTGCACTTTTATTTTTAAAATGTCAATCAACAACAATATATAAAGGTAATACACAATGTTCAAAATTATGTAATTGTTCGCCACATATATATCAACCAATTTGTTATCAAGAACAAATAACTTATCTTTCACCATGTCATGCTGGTTGTATGTATATAAATGGAACAGTAAGATACATATATATATATTTATATTGATTTGACTAATAATAATTAATTGTTTATTAAAGGATTATTCAAATTGTACATGTTTACCAAAAGGACGAAATGTTCGTTTAGGTTCATGTCAAAATATATGTTTTACTGAAACATTTTTATTTTTATTAATATTATTTATTGTAACATTTTTTCAAACATTAATGGCAACACCACAATTAATAATAATATTACGTTCAGTTCAACATGAACTTCAATCATTTGGTTTAGGTTTAGAAAATTGTATTATGAAAATTCTTGCTCAAATTCCTGCACCAATTTTATTTGGAATTATTATTGATAATCAATGTTTATTTTGGTCACAAGCAACATGCGATCGTCGTGGATCATGTTTTATATATAATGGAGATCGACTTCCATTTACATTATTTGGTACAGCTATTATTATTAAAGGAATTTCATTTTTTCTTTTAATTATTTTACTTATTGTCACAATAAGACAACATAAAATACCGAATAATCAGCCTTCTTCTCCTCCTCCTCCTCCTCCTCCTCCTTCTTTGACATTACAATCTCCAGAACAAGAAGATCCTTTAATTATTTCAACTTTATAGTCAATCAAATCTCTTCAATTGGTGAATCTCATTATTTTATCCATTTAGAATTCTTTGTTTTTTTTTTGTTTTGTAATTATTTGAATTACATCTGATAAAGCCTTAACATTATTTAAATAAATGTCTGTACAATAAATTGATCTGATAAAAATCATTATCTATAAGATTTTTGCAAAAATGTTTGTTGATGTGATACGATTAATCTTGTTAGATTGTATAACAAGAAAATGTCAATATAATGAAGACAAGAACCCAAATATGTCCTACTATAAATAGAGAGAATAGTTATTAATTATGATAATATCACTTTCGACAGTCGAACCATTCATATTCTTGTTGTTGTTATTATTACTCTTCTTCTTCTTTTTCTTCTTCGTCTTGTTGTTCTGCAAATATACGATTGGAATGGAAAAGCAAGGTGCTGAAGAGAAAAAAAGAGAAATGAGAAGATTGACGTCAGAAAAAAAAGGGAATGGATTCAATCAAATATCACATTTACAATTTTTTTTTTTCGATATATTACACTAGAACAAATAAATATAAACATTTTCTAATCTACAAATCTTCATTAAAATAGATTTTAACTGAAATTTAAATCGAATATTAATATTCTTGATCTTCAAATATTGAATTCATATTATTTAAATAACGAATTATACAAATATATTGGTCTTTATGCCGATGTCATTGTTTCGAATCTGGGCCTTGCGCAGTTTTATAGATCTTCTATTAGCGATTCGAATACACATCTGATTATTGAAAATTCACTTTATTCACCTTAGAGAGCATGCTACCATTGAAAAATATCGATGTAAGTTCTTGAAAAAACTAGGTCAGATTATTCTATAATATACAGTTCAATATGGCTCTATCTTCACTTTCCAACAGTGAAAACTGTAGCTCCTTATCTTGCTTCTATTGAAAGTTATTTGAAAAATACTCACCGTCCTTTTTTTGAAATGCACAATAGTTCTAAGGTTTCAACATCGTTCTGCAATGATCTACTTCAATACCCGACCTTTAAGTTCTTGAAATCGTCGACTGACTCGCACACTTTATTAATTGGTAAAATCATTGCGAAATTCTTTAATTGTTTTATACTAATTATATTGTTTCAGTATTGAACATGTGTTTTCAATGTTTCTTTTAGAATGAAAGATGAAGTTTCATTCGAAAATAAGTTCAGTATATTTTAGATATAGATCTCTACATAATCTGATCGAATCTTTTCTCTATATTTCTAGATCTTATCGGATAAACATTATCAATTTGATTTTTCTGATGAAGTTTAGTAAGACGCTGCAAGACTATTCTCCGCATCGAAATCAAAGAGAGATTAATATAATACTAATAATACGACAATACAAGCAGCTACTCATGCCACTTACATATCTAATATATGGATCCATGGTCTCTATTTTTGAACAAATAAATACCATAGTCAAGACTTCAGTTTTATGTAATAATATAATGGTTCAGTTATACGATTGAGAAAAGACAGGAAAACTATAAATAAGAATTAAATTTGTCGGGAGAAAGCCTGAGACCTGCTGCAAACTATAAAATAGATGAAAACTGATTCCTTTATCGGGTGTTTTCTATTTCTTCTCATTCGTATGATTGAGTTATGATTTTATTAGGATTACATGAATTTCGGTTCGGTCCGAAAATCAGGAAGGACTTTCGAGCCGGGCCCAGATTCATCTCATCAATCCCTTTAGAAAAGCCACATTTCTATAATCAGTTGATAAGCAACTTCCCAAGGAGTTCCGACAAGTTAACGAAGCTCCCGGTCAGTCTCTATCTGGAAATTCTGGGAGAGTTGAGCAAAACATAAGAAAATTTGTGATGGAATATCTATCGGGAGTATCAAGAAGTCAAGAAAAAGCAAAAAGAATTTTTGGGAGAGTTCCCAGGAATCCTTCAGGAACTTCCCAAAATTTTTTTTTGCGTTTTTTGACTTCTTGATACTCTCGATTAGGGGTGTCAACTTTGCGTTCCGTTCCTAGGAACGGGGAACGCTACCCCGTTCCTCAGTGTTCCGTTCCTAGAAACTGGAACGCAACATACGTTTCTTTCACTTTTAACAGAAATTTTACTAATTCACCGAAGGGAAGCCAATTTCATAAAAATTAGGAATGTCAATGTGCCCCGTTCCTAGGAACGGGGAACGCTACCCCGTTCCTAAGAACGGGGAACGCTACTCCGTTCCCGTTCCTGGGAATGGGGAACGCTACCCCGTTCCCCGTTCTCAGGAACGGGGAACGCTGAACACTCAAACATAAAAAGAAAAGTGAATATGTCTAGAGACCTCGCCATGTTGAAATATAGCGTGGAAATGCGATTTTGACAAGCGTTCCCGTTCCTAGGAACGGAATGCTGAGGAACGGGGAACGCTGACACCCCTAACTGGGACGTTGTTTGTGAAACACGACTGTATGTAAGATATATATCTTTTTTTCTTTTTATACATTTACTGTAACATATTAAAGTTAACATCTTTCACCATGAATGTTCGAATAACAGTAGATAGTAATTCATAAACCGAAACGTATGTTGATAAATTACTTCATTTATAATGTTTACAGTTTCATCATATGTCACATTTTAATCCCGCAGGAATTATGCTAACAGTTTTGTTATTTTTTAATATAATATACATTACAATGATAATAGTTTTATCTTTCAAATAGAGTTCCTAATTTGTATCCAGAACATATGCACAATTCTTCCATACTATCTTCTCAAGGTGTTCAGCTTGTTATTAGCAGTATTGATGAAAGAGAGCATGACTTTTTACTCAATGATTATATTAAATCTATTATTACTTCAACTAATATCACCTGTTTAACTATAAATAGTAGTATGTTACCTTCTTGTGTATTGATCGAACTATTGGAAAATTTACACAATCTTGATTCATTGACAATTTCATATTCAAGTCGATTATTAAAATCACATGGATGCAGTCAAAAATCAAAACATCATAATTTATCGACTACTACAAATATTACAAAAGTTAATATGTGTCATGTAACAAAAATCGAACAAGTTGATTTTCTTCTAACGTTTTGTTCACATATACAACATTTACAAATAGAATGTACAAATGATATTGAACTATTATCACTTATTCGATTTATTTTTATTGAAAAGAATGCATATGTTAAAGATCTTGTTTCATTATGTTTATGGATAGAGAAAGTAAATTATGATATGATACAAATATTACAAACAATAATTGATGATGAACAAATACTTCATCAGTATAGAATTGAACACATAAATGATAAAATTTATTTAAAATTGAATGTACTTTAATTCATTTTTATTGTTTTTATTTAAAAGTTGATTTAATTGTTTCAAATAAGAATGTGTTAATAATAACTAACAAGATTAGTTGAGAAAAAAGACATGTTCTATTGACGTTTTGATAAAAGAGAGATGTATAATTTTTATTTTAATATAATTAACCATATATAAATCTAATATCACAATATTTTTAAAGGACACAAGTGTTCCTCTTCGCTTTCTGTGACAATATATATACACAGTGTGTCTAAAAGCTGCTTGCGAAAAATCATTTCGTCTAATTCTTCTATTTTATTAAACTTAATTAAATATTTCTTTCTATGATGGATATCATCGTCAAGTTTTTATTAATATGGACAAACTTCACAAACATTGCTCAAAGGTATCATCTTTGACAGAAATACGAAAATTCAGTCTTTCGCTAATTTTCAAAAAAAGAAATCTATTACGCAGGATCTTTTTCCTATTGCTTCAATTTCTTTGATATAATCTAAGCTTTAAATCATTCATAATTTGAACAGTCACTTTACAGATAAACGACAGTACAAGTAAGGTCAGAACAATACAAGAACTGGGAGTAGTAGAGAAAAGATCCTGAGTAATAGTTTTTTTTTAAATTAGTGAAAGACTGAATTTTTGTATTTCAGTCAACAATGATACCTTTGAACAATGTTTGTGAAGTTTATCTGTATTAATAAAAATTTGATGATGATAGCCATTACTCAAGTGAACAAGAAATAAGTGAAGACAATCGACATGACTAATCCAAAATATCCGCAACACTCGTCAGGTCTAGTCTAAAGTATCTTCACACTTGTCATGACTAGTCACCTTTAGGAGAAATGTTCCTTAACTACGCCTGGACTAGTCAAGATGCCAGGCCATTCGCAACCTGTCGGAGACGAGCAACTTGACTAGTGTGAAATGTCTTCAATGGTAAGCATGAATAATCTATGGCGTTATCTGTGCACATTAAGACTAGCCCTTTTTTTTTTAGAATGTTCCATCAATCTTTGTCTACACGAGTCTAAAAACTCGAAACAACCTATTTTGATTGGACTAAACTGTCCTGCTACTTCATTTCAACTGATCCATATTGGAAAGAAAAAGACACAGAATGTAAGACATGGAATTTAGGTGTGTGAGTGTGAGTGTGGATCTGGATCATCTCTACGTCCAGATCCACACCCACACTCTCCTAATAAGAACAAATTCAATCATTCACAAACTACCGCTAGTTACTCAGGTAGTTTTTATCATTCGTTTGAGCAGACTTTTCTCTACTCAATAGTATCAAAAGTTTTTGATTTTATTTAAAATGGGTAAAAAAAAAAGAAAAATCGTCTCACCTCCGAAAAAACTGTTCTTATTAGGAACATGCGTTGTACTTCAAAGTCATAAGTGTTTCCAACGTCAAAGCATCGGTTATTGCTTTTTCATTAAATGCAAATGAACTGTCCATTTAACAATCATTTTCTTATCGGAAATAGCATTATTATTGTTATTACTATTAATATCATTTGATGATTCTGCATAACATTTAGCCAAATTATTTGTAAATGTTTCTAATAATTGTTTTAATTTCTCTTCTCCATAGCGTTTACGATACGTTTGACATAGACTCCATGTTTCAATCATATTTACAAATTGGTCAATCGACATTTCTTCCTCATGTTCGATAAGATGTTTTATTTTTGTTTGTTGATATGGAAATTTATCAATTATTGATTCATAATTCTCAATTACTATCTGTGTTTTATCATTCCAACAACTACGCAAATCATATATAGATAAATTTTTTAGTATCTCATCGGCTTTTAAATTATCTAATGAAGTCTCGTGGCACCAAATACTTAAGACACCACCGTTTGGTTTTAAAATATGATCAACCTGTTCAAAAAATGTTTGGATATTGAACCAATGTAATGCTATTGCTACTGTTACAAGATCAATTGAATTAGATGGTAGAAATGTTAAATTTTCGGCAATTTGGCACTGATATTCAATATTCTCTTTCAATGGTGCATTTTTCAATTGATTTTCACTACCATCGATTCCAATAACTCGATGACAATAATGACTTAAATCAACAGTTGCTTGTCCACTACCACAGCCCACATCCAAAGCGCATGGTATTTTCTTATCACTATCATCGAGATTGAGATTGGTTGTATTAAAATAAAATTCTAAAATTTTTGTATATAATTCTCGTGGATAATGACGACGAAATGCTTTATACTTTGTTGTGTGATCTGATTCAACAAACAATGGATAGTTCATTTTCACACACACACAATCTTGTTTTATTTCTTTCACAAACTTATGATATACAAATAGTTAGCCTTTTTGTTTTATGGATATTTTTTCGTTCTTTTATCTTTAAAGACTTATCTTAAAAAGTCATGCCCTTACCTTTCGAATAAGCAAACACATATTCACACTTCAACTCTAGAGGCACGAAAAACATAACATAAAACATTATCCTTATTAAGCAGCATCACATTACGATTAACATGTTTTATGTAAAAACTCAATGTCTGATAAAAAGACTTTCGTCATCAAAGTAAATATTGAATGAGTAGTAATTTGACATTGAAATTTGTACTCGTTAAAGACACTGCACTATTATATCAAGGACATGATAAAAGGATCATAATGTGACGAAATTTTTTCTTTCAATCCTACTCATTCGATTACCTATGCAAAATAATCTATATAATGTGAAAATAATATAATTGATCACTGACTAATGTTACGTAAGAGAGAATATGTTGAAAAGTATGTAATGCCGACTTCACCACTGCAATAAATATTATCCGGTCCACATTTTCTTCATCTTTGAGAAGACATTTCTGTGCTTTCATAATATTTTAGCATGTAGCACACACCTTTATAGTCTTCTTCTCTGATAGCATCGCACGCATCCCTTACACTAAAAAAAGAAGATACCATACGGAACCATTTTTGAAACGAGATCGAAGCCTTCAAATAGGTTTCGTAAAAACCTAAGATACATTGAAAATGATTGGCAATGATACCGGAATCTTCTTTAAGAGTTTCGTAGATTTTCTACGAAACCTCTAAAAGATTTCAATTTCGTTTCAAAATTCAAAACCTTTCATAAATTCCATACCATATACGAAACTATTTTTAAGTTCCGTAGTAATCACAAAACTATTTTTTAGTTCACGAAACCTTTGTTAGTTCCTTATGGTACCTTTTATTTTCATTGTAATCACCAGGACTGTGATGACATTTTTAATCGCTGCAATTTCACCAATAACGTTTTACAAGCCATCTCTCTAACATAATGTTTCGCACCTCCCATGAGGCACACACTAGCATTGTGACCACGTCATTCATCGCTGCTTTTCGCTCATTCGGCCAAGAGTCCTATACGCTTTATCTCTAACACGATAACTGTCATCCTTCAACACATTTATCAGCTCTGGCATGACGTCCTTCGTTCCGGCTTTCTCACCGATATCACTAAGACCTTCGCAAGCCTTCTTTTTGACGTCAACACTCGCATTTCCCAGTGCGGCGATTAATTCTGCGATGACATCGTTCGTGAGTGTGTGTGGATGTGGGTGGGGTGTAGGTGGATGTATGGGGTGTAAATGCGGGTTTGGATGTACTCTTCGCCCACACCCATACCCACCCTTTTCCTTCTTACTTGACTGCCATATGACCCAACACACCATTAACCTGGAAGAGAATCGGTAAGGACTTAGGTTTTCTACGCAGAAAGAGATAACTTTTGACATGATTCTTCATGAATTGATGCATCTCTAGTTGAGAAACTGATTGCAGATCCGAATTTTCCGGCCCTGATTATCTTCGGTTGAGCCTTAATAATATTCATTAGATTTTCTCAAAAAAATCTTTCCTCAACGAAATAATCATATTCGAATTTTCTCCATCAATTAGTTTCTGGCCGATTGTGTTGCCTATTTGACAGTAACTTCGTACCACTAATCAATGTAAATTCTCATCATTTTCAACCAGTTACAAATAAATTCTAAACAGTTTTAATCATTTCTAGATCGATTCCGATCTATTCGAGTCCATTCCAAGTTCAGAATAGGAATTGGTGAACGCGTATTTACAGCATCTTTCATTTTCTTAGTCAATAAGATCTATTTTGACTCTTTTTCGAAAAACTCATAATGATAAGTGGTGAAATCTTTTTGCAGACTAAGAGCTATTGATTGCATGCAAATATTATATAACATATAAATTATACATTAATATAATATTGAAACTTGGATATATTTCTTATATAAAGTATCATATAGGAATATGATAATTTAGATTTATTATAAATTAAACGGTAAATGACACCCCTAACATCAGCTATGGTTGGTTCTCTCTAATTTTGTTTATATTAATATGAATCAATATTATGCTAAAGCATTTGAATAATATTGTAAAATTTGAGTTAAAATTCCTCAACGTTTCAAATCTTCTGATAAAACATGAGTATTGCAATTATGAAGCCAAAAATAGACTTCTTTACGTTTGTTACATATATCTACATTAGTGGAATATATTACATTTTGATTTGAAAATTAATTTCGATTGAACAATATTATTCGATGATTTTTCACTCCAATGAACATCTAAAATAGATTATTGATTTTTCATAGTGAAAAATGAAAATAAAGCAGTATTGTCTTCGTGGATCGAATCTTGATCAGAAGAAACCTTTTCTGAATACTATTTTCGATGACCATTTCTATCAAATATCATTGTTAGTTTGTTTTGATTGTTATTGCATTGTGACATGTATTTTGTTTTCGTTGCATATTCTAGTATAAGTATGAAAACTATTTGGTCATGCATGACATATAGCCTATAATTGCACCATCACATATTGAGAGAGAACGAGTATAGTAGAAAGTGTGTGATATATAATTAAACAAACGATACAAAATTGCGATTGCAATTAGTATTGACTTTATTTCTTTACATGGAGAAACATCTAACACACAGCATGTCGATACAGGAAGACGAGATCCCATTTGGTCAGTGGTTTTTTTACACAACTTCTTCGATTTCTATATCCGATTTGATTCAATTGTAGGTGGAGAAAATTTCGAAGTCGAGTTTTACGAAAGCTTCGGCGTAGAACCGACGAGTCATATTGGACAGGGATCTAAACACAGTTCAGGATGTCATGAACCAGAACATCATCATGGGCCAGAAATTCCTCACGAGAAGCAAGATCACCATGGTTCAGAACTGTGTTCCGATGGATGTAGTATGACGAAATCTACTGATTACAATGATGTCAACAAACGTAAGTCATAATTCAGTTATTATCATTCTGTGTATTCATCTGAGGTTCTTGAAGTTCAACAATGTTACACAAACGTTACACAAATGCATGAAGCAAACAACAAGAACGTTTCCTGTATTTGCTCTGTGTGTCGTCGTTCTGCTTGTAATTGTAAAAAATGACTAGAAGATGGCATACCATTCATTAAAATAACTTCAATGACATTTATTCTTAACCTGCCATCATTATTCACATTAATGTCGATTTAATATTGCATTTCTTTTCTCAAATAAACATCTTCTAATTTCATTTAAAAAGCACGCACGATATTTCTTCGGTGGTGAGCAGAATCGAGATGTAGATTAATTTATTTTAGACACATTTGCTTTCTGTCATCATACAATTAGAAATGGTACATGCCTCCAATTTGACAACAAATCAAATTTCCAAGAGCCTCGAAGTCAATTTGACAAGTGAATGTGAATAATATTAATTTTTTTCGATCAAACCTGGTTGATTGTTCATTTGTTCTACATCTTTTCGAGGCGACTAAACAACCATTTTTTTTATCTGCTCCCATTCCGTGATGACTATCTGCCTCATGACTATACTATCAAGAACTAACACACGAATGAATCATATCAGAACATCAAAGAGTGACAGAAAGAGAAAGACACGTACACTAGAAGCAATTTGGTCCATTCGATTGATATGAGTCATATAAACCTACACAATTCTTTCATATTGTTACATTTATGTGACCAAAAAGAATTTTCATAAGTCTCATTTTGAGCATTATCGTATGACTTGCTTGACTTTACATGTGAACATTTTTCGAGTTAAAACGCGTCTGAATCGCGTTTGATCAACGTTCAAAATGCAGAGTAGGACGCGTCTAGATGCAAAAAAATGTTGCACTGAAGACGTGTTTCAAAATATAAACGCGTCCAGACGCAGTTTGAAATAATTAGTAGAAAAAGTTGAAAAAAAAAATATATCAATCCGTCCTAGATTCGAACCGAGGCGCCATCAGTATTCTCCTACGATGGTATTAGCCTATCCTGACCAACGGACTGGTTGCGAGCATTTAACGATAAGTACGAGATTCGAACGAATGAATTAGAGATTAAAAGGAGTGTATACGTACCACTAAGTCACACATGCTCAGAACGTATCCAGCTAACAGTATAACGTTCCAAATATCGACTTAAGTCTTCTACGACGTATCTATTCAGCATAAAGATATTTTTCTGGACGTAATGGAGAACCTATTTATATTGATAATTACATTATTCTGGCATATTTGCAAGTTTTCTTTAAAGAAATTATACTCATATGTACGAGTCATCAAGATCATGTTTAGAAAAAATATCCCATTTTAATGTCGCCAGTGCGATAAAATAAGATTGATCACTTGTACATTTGTGTCAGCTGAAGAAATAGCAAATCGAGTTTATAAAATTCAATGGAAGTTTGTTTTTTATAATTTACACAAAACAATATTCTGGTCCAAAGTGAGACCACCCAAACAGGGTATGGTATGGGTGTGGGTGTAGGTGTGCGTGAGTTTGTGAGCGTGGGTAGAAGAGAGAAGAAAAGGCCCACACCCACACCCTCAAATTAAGAAATTGTAAGAGTAAGCAAATGATCCTCACCGTTGCTTCCCTAGAAATCAATTATAATATCTATATTTTTATTCGTGCTTCTAATACACTCTATGCGTTAAAATAGTTAATGACTATTGGTATCTACGTCGAAGATATGACTAAAACATCAGAAGAGAAAAGATCCCTAATATCCAAGCGCATTACACGTGTATGAACAACAACTCAAGCGTGTAAGTTTAATCAATAAAATAAGAAATTCAAACGCTTAAGTTTAAAACAAGGTCTCAAGATCTGTCCATAGCACATGACATCCTTGCTCCAGAAGCTCATGCTTCTCATGTGCAGACCACAAGATGTTTTCCTAGAGTTATTTGTTCGAATTCGATCCATGTCGCTCAAAATAATTGAGAAATTGAAACTTTTCAACTTGAAAAAATGTTGCAAGAATTATTTTAGAGTGATTTGATTTTTGGCTTTTCCTGCTTCGTAGATTCGTTCAGAAAAAAGAAGTCTGGCAAAAAATTTGTAGCTCAGACTTCGCTCTTTTCAGCAAAAAAACATTGATTGATTTCGAAGTTGGCAATATTGTCTAACATAGGTTGATATTTTTCTTAAGACTTTTGTCTCGCATGGTATTTGTCTTTCTTTTATTAAGCTTAAGATATGGAATGAGTTAATAAATGTCACTATTCCAAATCATGAGCTTAACTTAACCATCGAGAAATAAATACAAAAACCATCATTCAATATTTCCTTGAGAAAATCAAATATATACTTTGACGAACAAGACAAATCTCAAATATCGGATCGCATAAATTAAATATACATGAAGATGAGAATAGAATTGATAATATATTTATCAATGTGAGAAAAATTTCATTTGAAAGAACTTATACGTGAATGTATTTAAATTTAAGGACAATTAATTTAAATAAATTATTGTTCATTCCATATAATTATTGTTAAATTTCATTATTGCTTATTTAAATTATTTTATTGCTCAATTAAATATAAGTCATAAAAATAGATACAAATCTATGTTTGAACCAACTAAAGCATTCATCAATGATAATGAAATCAACTGAAAGTATGTATATCGAGTCAATTTCATTCAATGAAATTTATTTTTTTCAAACGACAAAAGGTAATTATAAAAATCTGGCAGATATCAATCTATCTTGTGCATTAGTTGGATCACTTTTATAAATATTTGTCCAATATCTGTATTTGTATACATATTTTAATATTAAAAAACTCATTTGCATTTATCATTCAATAATAATTGTACTTCGAAGTTATAAGAAACTTATCGATATATCTTATCACTAGTGACCTCTTATTTTATTATATAAATTATAAAACAAAGAATTAAAAGATAGAGCATGATTTTGTTACATCATACTTACTTTTTCATTCATTCGATAAATTATAAAGACGACGAAGAAGAAGAATGACGTCAATGTCATTAGATGATCCTCAAATAATAGATGATGAACAAGAAGATGAAAAACTATCGGATCATGATAATGATAAATCATTATCAAGTTTAACAAGTGATTCATCAAATGAATGTCCATATAATGATGATATAGCTTCAAAAGTTAGTACAGCATTTGCTAAAGCAACTGGTATTGATATTGAATTTGCTATTCAATTACTTAAAGATCATGGGTGGAATATTGATCAAGCTTTAAAAGCTACATATGAAGCTAAAGAACATGCTCAATTAATAGTGAATACGAAGTAAAACAAAAAAAAAACCTATATTCTATGATTTTATAATAAAAAAACATTGGCTTTTTTTTTCTTAGACAAAATTGGAAAGATTCAAATGAAAAATATTTTAAAATTTTATCATGGAATACTGATACAACAGATACTGATGAAGTTGAATTCAATGAATTAATTCAACAACGAACAGAAACTATGATTGAAATTTTACTTCGGTAGGAAAAACAAAAATAAATACAAAAACAATTTTTATATATTTATTTTTTGTTTTTAATTTTTTCTTGAATATTAGAGAAAAACCTGATGTTATTCTTTTACAACAAGTTGGAACATTTGCATTAACATTAATCATAACATGCCTTTCATCATTATATGATGATGAATCAATTCAAATTGGTATTTGAAAAGAAAAAAAAAAGATTATAGATTCAATTTTAATTGATAAATTTTGTTTTGTTTTTCTAGATTCATCCAATAATTCAAATTATATATCAATATTTACACGAAAATCAAGTATTAAAAAGAAAAATGTATCAATTATTAAAAATTCTGAAAATTGGAATATGCTTAAAATTGAAGTAAAAATTTCATGAATTATATTTTTGTTATTTTAGTTAATAAAGAATTCTATTTATTTATAGATTGAATATAAAAATTCAATTAATATTGATTTATTTAATGCTTTTATTGATGAAAATACATATTCATATTGTTTCGAACAAATTAATAAAACTAATCCAAATCATATTATCTTATTCGGTATCAGTAGTCAAGTTAGTTTTAATTTATATATTTTTCTTTTATATTAATTAATATATTAATGAATAGATTTCAGATACATTTTGGAATTCTCACATAATTAATCTTGATGACTTATGGGAAAAGACAAATCAACGACCTGAAACAACATATACATTTGATCCTGAATTAAATTCAAATATAAATGGAAATAATAAACCTCAACGTTATGATAGAATTTTCTTTCGATCATTAACATCAATGAATAATCAATTTAAACCTGTTCATATGGAATTAGAAGGTATTCAACATATCAAAACATCAGATATTGTTTTTCCATCTACTCATTGGGCAATTCAAGGTTATTTTGATGTTAATAATTAATATAAATAGATTTACAAATTTTTATTAAAATAAATAAACTATTCAGGCTTTTTTTCTTTTTTACTGATAGAAAATAAATAGACTCTTCTAAATTTTAACCATAATATCAAAATAAATGAATAATTTGAGCTCTTTTATAGTAAGTACGGTCATTATCAGAGCGTTGTTATTGCAGAACTAAATGTTTGGATGTTCAATTTTAATTTAAAAACATTCATTTATACCTTTATCAGAATTAATTCGTAGCTGAAGCCGAACTTGAGCCAACAAAACTTGGCTTAATTCTTAATGTGAAGCTTTCGAAATATATCTAACTCTCTAATGAGCTTTTTCATTGATTTATATCACACATAAACTCCGAAATATCTCTATTGAGCATTAAATAGAAAACATTTTTTGTTTCGAAAAATTCGAATTTTTTCAATATTATCAATTTTGCAAAACCGATATTTCAAAGGCGGAGCGATAAAAATAATTCTTATCATTTTCAAATCCTATGCTTGCTTTATTTTTTGCAATCGTTCTATAAATCTTCTATAATTGGCATTGGTTGTTTTGTAATAAATAGAAACCTAATATTATAAGTGACGTCTTTAGTGCTGATCATGAACGTATTTTTCAAAAAAAAATGTCAAAAATTCTAGAATGATTATTTACTATCATATTGTTATTATTCAAGTTTTCTTTAAAAATAATGATAAGAAAACTGGAAGCATTTTTTTTTAAATACACTTATTATATATGTGATTTTGACCCTTTCTTATTGATAACTAGTTATAGTATCCTTAGAAAAAAAAACATATCAATAACATTTTATTGAGCTTCTTTAAATTTTGTCATATAATTGATAATCTAAAATTTATATAAGTAATAATCAAACTTCAATATATATGTTTCATCTGGATTTGTGATATTACTAATTTCATTATTAATAAATTGTACCATCAATAAATAATGTTTTATTAAATTTTAGTGTGAATAAAAATTTTAAAATCTAAAGGAGAGAATCAAAAATGGTTTGTTTTCTATTTTCTATCTTATATAGCTTAAAACTTACAAAAACTACAAATATTACTACTACAAACAACTGATTCATTATTATACTTTTTTACATTATTATTAGTCAAAGAACATGTACAGAGAAAGATTTATAAATACTATGCATCATAGCTAATTATAACTTGGTTATTATAAGATCATTGTAAAGATTGTCTGAAAAATGTTTATGAAGTGTTAGTAGTCGAACTGAGAGTGACTTCCAGACTTAGACTAAAAAATTTCGTTGAAATTAGAAATTCGGTACTGGGTTCAAAAATGTTGAATCCAACGTATTCTAATATAAATACAGATGATTTATTGACTATAACTAGTATAAAACGATCAACCTTGAAAATTTGATATGGTTTGATATTTTAATATCTTTCTTCTACATTGATAAGCTATGTAACATTTGGTATACGTATTATTACCGATCATAAACATGTCATTTTTGACATAATCATAGATTAGTATGAACTTTTTTTAATCTCAATATAAAAAATGTCATTTACCTTGAATAATCATGTATACGATTTGTCTTTAAATACTAATTTGTAAAATATATATAGCTACATATATTTGATATCCTACTGAAAAATTCTATTCTAAGATTTTTTAAACAAAATAAAACGTTTGAAATCATATTTCTTTTCTTTAATTACGATAAACAATCACGTTATAACTTCTTATTTTTTTTATTTTTTTATTGTTAACACTAGTAACATAATGTTTTTTTGTTTTGTTTTTGTTCTCAATAAATATATTTGTTAATCCTAAAGAGTGAAATAAATATTTGTCTTATACATTCTATAATTTATTATCGAGGATTATTTGATCAAATTATCTTTGTAAAAAAAATTCCAATGAATAATTTACTTCTTAGTAGTGTCTAAATATGATATATATATATATATATATATTTTCATATTAAGAATTAAATATTTTGTTTTTATTCATACAATGAAGTACAAAAATTATCAATATGATTTAGATTTTAAAACATATTTGTCTTCATCAACAAATTTACTTATAGTTTCTGTCAATTCATTAAATGTTGGCCGTTCATTTTGATCAAATGCTAAACAACGTTGAAATAATTTTTTTCGTTCTTTTAAATTTTTATCATTTGTTTCTAATTGTAATAAATACATTTTAAGAGCAAGTTTACCAAATGCATATACATCAGATTTTTCAGAATGAATTTCATTAGATGATACTTTCGATTCTGCATCAGTATTATTGGTTGATTTTTCTATATCACCAATATTAGTTAATTTAACCCAAGTATTTTCTGGTATGTCATCCAAATGATAAATAAATATATTGTCAGCCGTAATATTTCCATGAATAATATTAGTCCCGTTAAGATATTGAAGAGCTGAAGCAATTTGATAAAGTATAATATCAAAAGTATTAATTGATAATGTTTGATGAGAATCTTTCATAAATTGAGATAGTGTTACTTCACATAAATATTCTTGTACAAGAAGAATACCAGTATCTTTATGTTCAACTTTACCTAATACTCGAACAATATTTGGATGTGTTCCCATCCGACAATAAATTTCTGCAATATTTTCTGCATTTTCACCAGTTAAATGTAAAAGATTAATATTTGAATCATTTGATGATAACGTTCTTGTAATCCATTCTGCTCGATAAATTGCTTTCGTAGTTGTTTTTATAAAAGGTATTTGCTCAGTTTTTTTTACATCAATATCAAGTTTATATTTATAAAGTAATTTTTTTTGTCGCCATTCAGCACGCTTATCATCAGCCATTTTTTTAAGAGTACGACTTGGATTAAGTTTATCAACTGACATCATTTCACGTGTAATGGGACTTTTTCTTTCCTTTTGAAGCCAACGAACAATAGCTTCTCGTTCATATGCATGACCATCACTAGCAACAACAGGATCATGAAAAAGTCCCCCTGTTATTGGACATTTAAGATCACTTGGTATAGGATAATCTTCAGTTGGTGATGGACTACGTGAACGAGCTGGTGCACTAGGTAATGGTGATACAGAATCAGAAATTGCACGACGACGATGTCCAGGAGTTGTACTACGTCGATTTGGTGGCCTTCTTCGAGTATAATTAGGATTTTGTGGACATAAAAACTAAAACAATTAGAATGATTAATAAATTAAGGGCATGTCCTTTCCACAATTTCTGAAGAATGATTCATCAGAAAAATTTGAAATTTTCAAGACAAGTAAATCTTGACGAATAGACCAAAAGTTTTCATAGACGCAAAGTTACCCGGATAACTGTCTTCTATGAGATACTGGCAGTACAATGGTCTCAATTTTCACCCCCGTTTCTTCAAGATGCTATTTTAGCTCGATCGAATGTACTAGGTCGAAGAAAGAGCAGGAAGATGTTTAAGAACTTTTTTTTAATGAAAAAGTTGGTTTGAGAAAAATGTAAAACAATGTATAGTTTAACATTTAAAGACAATTTTTCGATGTTAAAATGTACTCAGTAAATAGATACTATTTCAAACTATACAATAGCCATAGGCAAACAAAAATTTTCGATCACGAAAGAAGAAGGAACGATTCTTAATCGAGACATGAAGTGTTTAGTTTTTTATTCAATTCAAAATGAGTTTGAAATGAGAATGAATGATACAGATATAAACTAGAAATACAACAATAACAACTTATCATCATTGATTCATTAGTAAAACTACTGAATGATTAATGAAGTTATAATGATCACGAAGTTTTTCTTTCTTGATTCAAATGTCTTTATATATTTAGAGAATTTAACAACATCGAACAAAAAACCAATACTCGTCATTACACTGTATATCTAATATGAACATTCCTATGAATATTTTTTAATAATTAGCATAATTTCTTTTTAACATGTAAGATATTATTGTAATAAAATGAAGATAATACACGATTCATAATTCTAATATACGGCTATTGATTGAAAATGAATTGATAGTTACACTCTTATTTCTAAATAAGAATAATTAGAAACTAAGTAGATGTTTTATTTTTCGACAATCGACAAGATAACCCATCCGAAATCATTTATCATTTTTGTACTCATATTTTGAACATATAAAAAGGATAATCTGACGACAAGAATTTCGATCTATTGATTGTTTCTATAGTATTATAAAAGGTAGAGAATTTTCAGAAATGTTGAACATTCGAAAATGAAAATAATTATTTTCATTGAAAGTTTTAGAATATTGTTTAAATCATAAAACATATTTCTTAATAACATTTCAAGTTACATCTACATCATTCAATTTTCGTTCACAATCCTCCATTCTGTAATAATAATCCTGCAAACCTATTATATCACTATACAGAAATTCTATGAATTTGATACTTTTTTTTTTAAGGTTACTTAAACTTCAAGGTCTTCTTTAGATGCTTAAAAAATAAAGTTAACACGGATGAATTACTATGAGAGATTCTTTCGTCAATTATATGCAAATTAATAATTGTAAAACAATATTTTCTATTCAATTGGATTTTTTTTTATTATCTTATTATCACATAAATAAAACATTTAATAGAAAAAATTTCGATCATATAAATCAAAGTTATATATCTGTATAATATGATCATATTATTCTGTCGACTTTTTTTTTTTTTTGTTGAAAACCAATATTTTTCTTTAATTTCTCAAAAAGAAAAAAAAAACGAAACTTGAGTCAATATGTCTTCAATAAGGATTAACAAATATAAAAATTTCAAGATTTTGCCCACTAAATTCAATCTAATTAGAAAAAAAATAGTCAAATATTTTTACCTGATGTTGAGTTATATGATCACTCGGTTGTTGCAAGCGACAAAATTCACAAGGAATAAGTATCTCTGACGCATTTGGAGCGTCATCTGTAATCGAACTATTAACAAAAAAACAAACTGTTGTTTTTTTTTTCATTTATTTTCTATATAGAATTTTTACTCGATTGGTGTTGTTGGTTCGAATACAGCATCATCGTCATCATCAGATAAACCTGATGGAAGCTAGAAAAAGACAAAAATAAAAAAAAAATACGTAAAATTAATAAAATTTTACATACTATTGCCGGCACATATGTACTTTGATGATTATAACTATAAGCACTATTACTACGTATCAAATTAGTAGTAAAATTTTTTGCTTGACTAAGTTTTCTTTCAAACTTCTTGAAAGATCTTCGCATTTGTCGTTTCATTTTTCAAGACCAAAGAAAAAAGATGTGATGCAGGAAAAATAAATAAAACTAAAATACGTAAAATCCAGACAACGAATATTTCAAATTATTCATTGAAATAATATGAGAGGTCTTGTTTTTAAAGGGAGCAAGGAAGAAAGAAAGAGAGGGGAGTTCTTTTTTCGGCTGATTACGACACTCTGATTCATCGCGTTGATTATGAAAGTCTAATATTGGAACAAGAAAAAAGAAAAAGAAAAAGAAGAAATATTTGTGTAAATGAAAAAGGTTATACTTCTTTTTCTTATCTCATAAAAAAATGTTTGTGGATGGTATTACTCCCATGCAGAAAACTAAAACATCTATTTTTCATTTCTTATTCATGGATGTTAATGTATAGAAGTTTTTGAAGTATCGATCGTTTTAAAAGAAATCTTATGGTGATATGTGTCATCGTAAACATAATATAAATCAATCAAGAATAAATTTTTTTTACAAAATAAAAAAAAATGACGTCAAACGATAAGTTGAGAGAATGAAAATAAAATAGAAGCGAGCATTACTAATCTATACAGCATTCAAGGACTGTACTGCCTATATTCCGTCTTTATATTCTTTTTTGCAAGAAAAAAAAGAAATATGAAGCGCCCTCTATTGAATTGTACCGAAGTAGCATTTTTGTCCAGTAAAGAAAAAAACAAGATTATTGAAGAAAATTTCTAAGATGTTATCTTGATTATTAAATTAATTTTAACTCTTTAATAAAATTAGATATATTTATGATCATATTTTTTAAAATTGTACATAGAACAAAATTCTTACATTCAGCCTTGAAAGTAATAGGTTACACTGTTATATTTCTGACCTTTCATCATTATTCTGAAACTCTTTTTACAAAAAAAAGAGATATAATATATCTTATCTTTCTTCCTTTTTCAAAATTCTCATCTTTTTTCCTTTCTAGACATTCATTTAACTCATGCATATTTTCTATGCAATAGAATATCATATGTCCTGTGGTTAATTAAGCTCTTCAACATTATTATTTTGTCATTCTGATCTTAGCTTTATATTTATGATGAGGTTTAATTTCATTAATGTAGGCTTTTCGAAAAAACTGATCGAATCAATATTTGCGTCTATTTTTCTTTTCAAATTTAAGAACAAAAAAAACAAAATATTGGAAGTGATATTGATCCGTCATTAACTTGTATTATTTACTTTTCTTTCTCATTATCAATAGGAAATCAAAGAAAACAATAGAATTCATTTTAACTATGATGAGAAACATTCTTACATATCGGATGTATTCAACATTTTTTCTTTACAAATAATATCAAATTTACAAATCGATTATATAAACATTTTTGTTTTTCAAATGATATCTAATCAATCTAAAAGTAATAAAATTTAATAAATCCTTGAAATAAATGTCATAAGTAACCCCTCAAGTAAAATAATTATAGAAAGTATTAACAGAAATCGTTCCAGTTGATGAACTACAACGATAAACAAACAAGCACAACACGTGTGCCTATCATCATCATAATTTCTTGTTTTATGTTCTTGCACATATGCACAGCTAATTGGTCCCATATATATATATATTTTCGATAAACATTCATTCTCCCTTGTGCGCATTTTGTTGCATCATAGATACATATATATATACGTATATATATATGCTAGACTTCTTATTATAATTTTGTTTTGTTTTTTTGTAATATATCAAGTTATATATTAGTTAAAATTAATGAAACTTTTTTTTTTTTCGTATAGTTTTGATGCATTCGACCGAGCGATTGTATTCATTATGATATCACATATGAACATCACCCAAAGCAAATGAAGACGATGGGTGGGATTATGAATCTTCTCATTGAATGCATGCATTGTTTGTTCAGAGACGAAATCAAGGGTACTTTGATCCGTTTCGTATTTGACACTCGCTTGCCATACAAACACACGTTCAATCAATAAAATAGAGGAAAAAGAAAAGCTCGATAGGGTACAACAGCAAATAAAACGTATGAACTCTTCATTGAGAGGCATAAAAAGAGAGAGAGAGAGAGAGAGAGAGAGAAACGACTTTTCTCTTTCTCTCTTTCCTCCTTTTTTTTTCTCTTCCGGAGAAAAAAGAAGATCACAATGTATATATGTAATCATAGTGTCTTGTCGAAGATCAATTAACTAGTTACTGGTCAACGAGTCATTCGTATGTCGGTCAAGTGTTGTCTTGTCTGTTTCAATTGACGTAATGGAATGATCTTAGTAATAATAATTGTTTGTATTATATCAACAATAATATCTTCTTCTTCTTCTTCTGAAATAACAAATTCAACAAATCTTCCACAAGCAATTATAATTGGTGTAAAAAAGTGTGGTACACGAGCTTTATTAAAATTTCTATCTATACATCCAGCTATAGCTGCATCATCAACAGAAATTCATTTTTTTGATTCACCAAAAAACTTTCAACTTGGCCTCGATTGGTATCGGTATGTAAATTTAAGTTTCTTTTTCTTTTTTTCTTCTTTGTCATAACTTTACTATAGAGATTATTAGTTGAAACAACAGATAGATTAAAGTCATAGTCTCAAGAGTTTAGACGAGCGCGTCTATTCTTTCAAGTGCACACATGCGCATGCGTAAGGATGGGACGTATAAAACATACTAGTAAGTCTATTCAAGCATGTATAATGAACTCTATCATTAGAGAGCAAGAATGACAATCACTACTAACATCAATAATTTACTTGAGTAGAATGTTCGGAAACATTCCTAGCATGAAATCGATTTTCTTTTAGACTATTTCTGTACATTAACTATATAAAGTATTACGAATGAATGAAAATTGTTTTGCGTGTTTCATGCTATGTAATCGAAACTTCCCTACAGGCTTACTTCTATTTATTATACGTAGGATGAAGAATAAAAATCGATATGGCACGCGAATATAGTTTTTATGTAAAATAGATTGCGCAGATGTGCCCTTTTTGATCGCATCAGGTGGGCGGCAAATTTTAATTGAAAAAAACAAAAAAAAAATTCATTGAATCGGAAAATAGAGAAGGGATAAAAAATATAATAGATCAATATACACGCGAAATATACAAGCATTGAACTAGAAAGAAATTTTTTGTATAGTTCTGGATTGTCGATATGCGAAGAGCTAAAGTCAAAATGGTAGAAATGATGATTGAAAGAAAAAAGCAAATCTAACCTTGATCCGATCTTTTTTACAATAGGTGATCTGTCCATCCTTGCTAGAGAAAGAAAAATGATATTTCAAAATCTGGTTCCTGACCAAGATTATCGCGAAACTGTAAAAAGTTGATAGGAAGTCAGGCATCTCATCCTAATCGAAAACTCTGATATCCATCGCTATAAAACAATTTTTCAAAAAAAAAATCATTGAAGAATCATTATCTTGAGAAATATGGTGTTTTCTTTATTCTTGTAATTCAAAATTTCTAACAGAACTCTAAATATTTACCCTTTGATGGCCACTCGAAAATTACATGATTAGATTTTGATTATTTTCAATGATCTTTTTCCGATTTCAATCTCATCACTTGATTTCCAAATGAATTATTTTATAGTAAAGAAAAAAAAAGGGAATTAGTGTAATTCATTATTGACTGTTCGCAACAGGAGGTCAATAGTGAAATTGATCAGAGAGAGCAAAAAAAAGGTGCGCCGATGCGAATAGGAAACATTCGGTTCACTTCCTTGTCTTTATCTTATCATCATCACAGTATGACGTCTCATATATATATGTGTGTGTATGTTGTTGCTTCTGTTTTCTCATTTATCATGTCTATATACATGCCATGATCATAATCGTATAATTGAACGATTACACCTTAAGAAAAAAAAAAAAAATGTTGAATGATTAATGAGTTGCATTGTTCGGTTTTTTTTGTATGTGTTTAGAAATCAAATGCCAATAGTTAAAAATAATCAATATTTAACTATAGAAAAAACTCCACATTATTTTATTGATAGACAAACACCAGCACGTATATTTCATTTATTACCTGAAGTAAAATTAATATTAATTTTACGAGATCCAATTATACGAGCTATAAGTGATTATGTACAAATAAAAAGTCGACATGAATTTTATCCAACATTTGATGAATTTATTTCAATGAAAAATTTTACTCGTTGGACACCAATTAAAATTGGTTGTTATGTTATATATCTTCGTCGTTGGTTAAAATATTTTCCATTAGAACGAATACATTTTGTTGATGGTGAAAATTTAATTCAACGACCATGGCAAGAACTTGAATATGTACAACAATTTTTAAATATATCAAATCATATTCAACAAGAACATTTTTATTTTAATTCAAATAAACGTGGATTTCCTTGTGTAAAACAACCAAATGGATGTTTAGGTACATCAAAAGGTCGACAACATCCATTAATATCAGAAAAAACTCGAGAAATATTAAAAAATTTATATTCAACATGTAATCAACAATTTAAACAACTTGCTCAAATAAATTTTTCTTGGCTTTAACCAGCAATCAAAAAGAATATTAGGTATGAAAGTGATGTAGAAAGTTTTAAACTTGAATTATTTGTTATTTTTAAATATAAAATAAAAAAAAAAAAGAAAAACAAAGAAGAATTGTTTTTTTTTTATTTCTTGATAATCATCATAATGTTATTCTTAAAATATTTGTTATTAAGAGATTTTGTTTTTTTGATAGCAATTAATTTATTCAGTTCAATTATCTTTATAGTTTCATCATTACAATTGATGTTCATCTTTATGTGCTTATTTGCACATCATACACACTTTATCATTCACAACATTAGACAATAAGAACTCAAATGAATAGTTTTCGAATGATT